TTTTTTTTTTTTTTTTTTTTTTTTTTAGAAAAATGAATCTGGATATATAAATATGTCCATTTACATCCAGCCCTTTATGGGGAAGCACACACCCATTATATGTATGTAACATGTGTGCATATGTGTTTATGTGTGTTGTGAGGGAGGTGATACTTGACTCGGATGGATGTATTGTTTTGAGTTTTTTCCCCTGGATATATTTGTGATGTAAACCAGGGATTAAAACTGGGAAAAAGCAGCCTTATGTATATATACATTGTGTTATTGTCATTTAGTTACGCTAAAATTTTATCTCACCTGTTCATTTGGAATAATTTCATTAGCAGTGCTTTCAAAGCAGTGCCTCTTCCTTTTAGTGAGTTGCCTCAGATCCAACTAAGTTTTGCCAACATTATCGGTAGCATTAAGTGAAACCAAGTGTGATGTTAAGTACATGTAGATAAATTACTTCTGTAGAATGTAATGCTTACTATATGGAGCTGATAATCATAGGAAACTTGGGTCTTCAAAAAGTATATCATTTTTACTTAAAACATTAAGCAATCATTTGAATTTTTTTAAATACCTATAAATTTCCTTATTAAAAATGACCTCAAAATTTAGATTTACAGCCAGGAGAAGTGGTACATGCATGCAGTCCCAGCCCTTTGGAGACTGACAGAGGAGAACTGAAGTTCAACTTCCACTTGGGCAATGTAGCAGGTCCTATATGAAAATTAAAAAATAAAAGGGGCTGGGGGAGCTGTAGCTCAGTGGTAGAGTGCCCTGGGTTCAATCTGCCGTAATCACACACACACACACACACACACACACATTAGATTTATATACCATATTATGGGATTATTATGTTAAAATTTAATAACTATACAGTACATGATTTCAAGTATTGTACTTATGGAAACAGTAGGGGTTAGAAATGAGTAGTAATATCTTCAGGGGTGAAGTATTACTATAATCAAGATTTGAAGAGTTTCATAATCACAAATAAATAGATGTTACATTTTTAAGGCTAGTAATGTTTTGAAAAAAAAAAAAAAAAAAAGGATTTTTTTGTGTGGTCTTTATTATTAAATTGTAAATTCTCTATATTCTATACCTGATTTTCCCACCTTGCAGTGCTGGGGGTCAAACTCAGAGCCTCACTCATTCTAGGAAATCACTCTACCACTCAGCTACATCCTTGGTCAAGTCTGGTAGCTTTTTGTTTAATACCTATTTGAAAATTACAAATGTTTATAGACAGGCTTGGGAGAAATACAAATGTTTTTTATAATTTATGTTTTACTTTATCTTGCTTGTCAATAAAAATATTTTAAAAGTTAAAATGACAGTAACCCAGATTTTCTTGAAAACAAAAGCTGAAATGAACCCAACTTCAAAACACAAACCATGTTCCCACAAATAGCCCTGTGTGCTGCAGTGCTCTGAGAACTAGGAGAGAATCTGGGCTTAGGCAAGGATGTCCCTATGGATTAGTGGTTTACTGGACCTTTATTCCCTAATCTTTAAGATGTATTTGAGGGCAGAACTGGAACATTTAGATAGGCAATTTAAAAGTTAATTTTTCTTCCATTTGGTACAGATTGCTTTTCTACTCTTTAGTCAGTTCATCTCAGAGGAGTTTGGTGTTGAATTCTTTTACATGACATTTAGTAATAGATACCCTTAGGGTACTACTGAAAAATTATAAACTTAAAATTTTTATTTGTGTTTATCATTTTAGGTATGCTATACCCCCGGAGCATGGAAAACGACTTGAAAGACTAGCTCAAGGTAAAACTTGCTTTCCATTTCTCACTTTGATAGCATCTGTATTTTTGAGACATTTTGCAGTGTAGAATATCACTTTGTTAATTTTATCCTTTTGACGTTACTGTCCTTTTAATATTTCTCTGAATTTGAAAAATTTTAATCTTTTCAATGTTAGTTTGTGAATATTTTTCCTGTTGCATAATCTTGAAGTGATGGCACTTAATCTGTTTTGGCAGTTTCCAATTTTTTATCACGTACAAAGTATTTATGCCAATAATAGTTTTACTTCTTTAAGTTATATCTTTCCAAAGAGCCTTGTTGCTCGCAGTATCTCACATGAGGTGTTTTATGAGTGCTTTTTATGTTTCGATATCATTTCCCGGAAAGCTTGTGTCATATCACCTGTGACCTGCAGTTTCCTATGGCCCATTGAGCCTGGCACTCCTCTCATGGAAGTATTAATGTGAATGTTGTGGGTAACTTGTTACATATGAGCATATGTCTTCTTGAACTGGCAAGATTAACTTTACTGCAACTTTCATTTTAATTTTTTATGGCTTTCTTCATCTTAAGGGTCAGAATGAAGAATTCCTCTGGTAGCTCTCTTGCTGGTTTTACCCTACGTCTGCTTGTGTATGCAAAGAGTGCCCAGAAAAGCAGCCACCTTCTTTACTTTTCCTCCCTCCTAAAGTTTTGCAGGTGGCATTACACATAGGGAGAAGACTCAGACCCATACCACACCATCCTTGTCTTCTGTTTTGCCAGCCACTCTGCCCACAGGATGTAGGCTGGTAGTGACTTACTTGAATTCCATTTGTGAGGTAACTGATGAGCAAGATGAGTTTATACAGGATTGAATCCTGAGTGAGAAGTGCTCTTTTGGCTAGACACCGATCTAAATTTCATTGGTGTGTTAGATTTACCTTCTGTTAGGAAAATAATTTTGTCCCTGAATTTTATATGATTTCATTTAATAGTGAAATGGGGACACTAAGAAACCCTATTCTTAGGGTTAGATACTATATTAATGGTATCTAAAAGTTATTTTCCCCAGATTACCGGAGAATATTAGAAGGAATTGTTACAGTATCACATTTGCAAGAAACATTATTATAGTTTTGGCAGGCTAATAACTATAAAGCTCTAGTGTTTTTTAAATGTAATACATTATGGTAATAATAGCAATGTGATTTTAGTCTTGAACTTTGTTAGGAACTATTTTCATGAATATTAAGGTGGATGAGTCCTGGTTCTGGATAATAGATTAGAGCAGAGCTTAGAAGATGATTACCATAATCCTTAAATACGTAGACAGGGAATTTTGTGCTAAAGCTATATGTTGAGTTGTCCTCTCTGTAATAATAATTCTATCATTTTCTGTTAACCTTACCACCAGAGAACTTTTAAAATGAAGCCAATGTAAACTTCGCAGTTTTGAGTCACACTAAAATATGTGCTATAAAATGCTTATTAGTCCTTTGAGTAAACTGTCTGAAAATAGGTGCCAATTTTTTAATCAGTAAGAGGTTAGTGAACTTGAAAGATGAACGAGAACTTTAAAGCTGCCTTGCAGCATTATTTTGAGGAACAAAACAGGCAAAAGGCCCTATAAGAGAGTGGAGGATTTGTATCCACTGACCAGATGCCAGCCAAACTAATTGAATTCGGCTAAATAATTAAAATGATAAAATAATGTAGTAAATGTGATGGAGCATTATGGAATGTCTAGGTCAAGGCAGCACTTGATACATAAAATGAAAAGTGGGCTCAGATATTTCCCATTATCTCGTCTGCACATCGTAATTATCACACTTGCCTTTTATGCATGATTGCTTTCATCTGGGGTTTCTATTGAAATCTTGATTGACTGTGGCACCTACAAGTATTTTATCTGGAAGATATTAGGCCTGCGTCTAATAAAGCCTGAAGTTTGATTTTGCCCTTCAGCTGCTTTCTCATTTACACATATTCTTCTCAATATTATATAGACATAAATGTAATAAAAAGTCTCAAGAGAATTGTTGTAGTTTTTATATGTGTTATGTTCATCTATAATGCCATTACATTTTTCTTAATTTTTGGTTAGATACAATTGAATTGCAAATATGGAAGAGAATAGAAGTACAATGTTAAATCATGAATGACAAGTTGGGAGATTTAAGTTTTCAAATGTCTAAGTCTCATCTGTATTAGAAATAGGACAGTATCTTTGTTATAATATTAAGCAAAATAAAGATTAAATTGGGAGCATCTAAAACCTTTGTAAAAGAGGTCTTCCATTTTTGTAAATAAAATGCTATTAAAATTAAAAAGATTTACATTGGTGACAATTTTGGTTACTAGGAAAAGTATGTGATTTAGGATTTTGTGTAACCAATTTTGGAAGTACAAATGATTAGCAAGATTCCTGTTTTAAACAACATTATAATAAAAGTGAGTTGATTCTTTTAGATACAAATAAATGCTTGTAACAGATACTTTAGCTTTAGTACTATCTCTGTCTACCTACCTACCTATTTATTATGTTTTTTTTTTTTTCCCCTGGTACCGGGAATCGAACTCATGACCTTGCGCTTGCCAGGCAGGTACTGTGATGCTGAGCTAAATCCCCAGCCCCTTCATTATGTTTTTGAAACAGGGTTTCACTATATAGTTCAGGCTGGCCTTGAATCTGGCAGTGATTCTCCGGCTTCAAGTCTGCTGGGCTTACAGACTTATTAGCTTATTCATTTATTTATTTTTAAAAATTGTATTCTTTCTTTTGAAAGTTTATTTGTTAGATCCTGTTTGTTTGCTTATATGAGGAGGTCTCAGGCTGGCCTCATACTCTGAGCTCAAGGGATCTTCTGCCTTAGCCTTGTGAGAGCTGGGACTGTATAGACTCACACTGCTGTGTCTGGCTGTCATCTTATTTAAAAAAAGTGTTCAGTAAAAAGGAATGGAAAAATCATTGCTATGAAGGGTTCATTTAGTTCATTTTTATGAGTGGATACTTTTTTTTTAGGTTGGCTGGGGATTGAACCCAGGATCATGGGTGTGCATGCAAGACAAGTGCTCTAGCCCTGAACTACATGCTCAGGCTTTTGTTTTTTCTTCTCCTTTAAACCCTTAGTACTGTTTGAGTTTAAGCCTATAGATTCCCATGATGACTGCAGTCATTATGTACTGCAAACATGTAAGAAGTTTTAAAAAAAACCTATTAAGTAGAGGATCTCAGAGTGATTTTTAGGGATTCTTGTTGCACGGAGATCTGCGGGTGGAATGCAGGCAGGCATTCTGTGCATTTCCTGAAGTAATGTCAAAGTAGGGCATATATGCAGACCTCTAGAAAGCCATCATTGAATACCCTAAGAAATTTTGGTCCAAACAGATTATGAGCCACTGTTATCAAGAGAGTAGAAAGGCAGAAATAAATGTCATTTTAATTCTATGAACAGATTCTAAATTGATCTTTTTTCATACTTGCGGAATTAGGAATTACTTTTAGTAGCTCTCAAAATGGTAAATATTATTCCCTTAAGCATTCATGTAGTGGATGGTCTGAAAATACTATATTAAAATGTCTGGTTTTGAAAGGCATATAAATAAAATACTCCTGATTATAAATAATCAATTTTAAAGGTCCCTGTAAGACATAAAAATGAAGAAGACCAATTATATGTCCTTTGCCTTCATGACTAACACATGCCTTAGGCGTGGAGATCAATGAGTGGTGTGTCAGGGTATGTTTATTTGCATCTGATAATCTACTGGGCAACATTAAGAATAATGAGACAATCTCTAAACTTAATTTTCTCATAATTGGATATCTGTGATATCTCTGTATGTGTTAAGTGTATTTGGATATTTTATATCCAGTTGTGTTCCTGATAGTTCCGAGAAGTGGCTGTGAGAACCGAGAGGAAGAATGTAGGAAGAGAATGCCCACTAGCCAGGAGTTTTGTAGGGAAATGGAGATTTCTGTGATTTGAAGTGTGAGGTTGGGGCTGATTAGACAGCCAGGTTAGCTTGACCCTGGCCTGTTTGATCTCAGTGTGGTTGGCCTGGAGATCCCTGGTTGATGTGTACATTTATTGTCCATATACTACGTAAAGGGATGAAAAAGTGAGAAGAGAAATAAAACGTTCTCAGGGATGAAGTTAAAAAACCATTTGAGTAGTAGCCTACTGATCTGTTAAACTGAGTGAAAATTTTAGCTCTGAGTTTTCTGCAACCAGCTTGAAATAGAAAGAACTTGCTCTTGATATAAGACACCATGTTCAGGAGATAAAAATATAAAGTAGTTGCTTAGAAGAAGCACTGTGTTTCTTGATCCTAAGATCAGTATGAAGGTGAATTTTTTCTTTTACTTCTAGAAAATTCTGTCAGGCAATAGAGATACTACACTTGATCTTAGCCAAAGGCCGAGTAGCGATAGTCAGTAGAGATATCAATGAAATATAGGACCCTTGGAGTAGAGTGGAACCTGGGTAGAGAAAATAATCTCTCTGGTCCTGGGTAACCAACCACTCCACCAACGATAGGAAACACAGAGAGGCCAGCTGTGAATCTCTAATGTCAACCTCTCAAGTAGAGACATAGGTAAAACATAAAAGATTCCCTTCCCATGTAAAATACCTCATTGGTTCATGAGTAAGCACCAAGAAATTTTATGTGCAAATATTATACCTGTATCTATGAAAGAAATTCCCATAGAAACAAGTTCCTATATCATCTTCTTGTTTTATTTTCCTCGTATTGTATATTAGCTGCATGTTTTTCATTTTTCATTTTTCATTGACAATAGTTTTATATATTTATGGAGTACAGTACGATAAGTCAACGCATGTATATGATGTGTAGTGATCATGTCAAGGTAATTACAATTTATATCTCCTCCATTTATCATTTCTGTGTACTGGGAAACTTTGGACTCTTCTACTTATTTTGAAATATAAATTCTTGTAGATAGCGGTTACTGTAGTGTGCTGTAGTACACTAGAAGTAATTTGGTGCCTTTAGCTAATCTCTAGCCTCCTTAC